TAAATACCCCAACTAACTTATAATGTTGAATAGGTAAATATTCTTGATCGAAACTGACTTGTTTATGTGCTTATCTAATCTGATCATTAATCCAAGACCAGAATATTTGGAGAATTCTTCTGACGAACCAAAAATGGATAATTGTTGGCAAAGTTTTTTTTTTACCTCTTTAAATCCAAAAAATTGTTCTTAGGTATCCATGTGTAATGTGAATATACTAAGTTACGTGGAAATGAACTTTTTGCAAAATTGTGTAACTCGGTTTGATGGAAGCATGCTCTTCCTTATTGTATGGACTTCCATTTATATTTTCATTTTCATTTTCTTTTTAATGAATGCTATCATATCCTTTCCCTACAATGCTTGAGCAAGAAATGGAAGATTTCAGCTAAAGGATGGGTATAGCAAAAAAGTTTTGCTTACATTTTCCAGTAGTTATGTTCCTCAACCCTGACACTTCTAAGCCGTTTTTGCAAGGGGTATTTACTTTCATCTCACTAATATAGTGTCTCGTAGCATCATGGAAGTTTTAGTGTGTGGAGATCAGATATTGTGTTTGTTGGTTGCTCTATTATGCTAAGATCATAAAAATTTTCAGGTGTCTGTCTCCAAGGCCCGTGCAATAATTGTACTTGCTGAAGATGGAAATGCTGACCAGGTCTATTTTGGGGCATTAGTGAGCTTTGTCTATAATGCTAGATAAAGATGATCAATATTGACTATATCATTATTTGAAACAGAGTGATGCACGTGCTCTGAGAACAGTTTTAAGCCTAACTGGAGTCAAAGAAGGGTTGAGAGGGCACATTGTGGTGGAACTAAGTGATCTCGATAACGAAGTCCTTGTTAAACTTGTTGGTGGTGTTCTTGTCGAAACTGTTGTGGCACATGATGTTATTGGCCGTTTGATGATTCAATGTGCTAGGCAGCCTGGACTTGCACAGGTTAATTTATGCTAACTTTAGAATTGTACACCCATCAGGCACACATATCTATGTCAATGTATTTCTAATTTCTCATTGCCTTTTGTCATTAAGCCAACAAATTAGTTGGCACCATTTTTGACAGACCATTTTTATCGATGGTAATTGTTGACTGCCGTGGCAGATCTGGGAAGATATACTTGGATTTGAAAATTGTGAATTCTACATTAAAAGATGGCCTCAATTGGACAGAATGCAGTTTGAGGATGTATTGATTTCTTTTCCTGATGCAATACCTTGTGGTGTCAAGGTTGCATCATGTGGTGGTAAAATTATCCTTAATCCTGATGATTCATATGTTCTCCAAGAAGGTGACGAAATTCTTGTTATAGCTGAAGATGACGATTCATATGGTCCCGCTGCATTACCAATGGTGCTTTCTTTTTCCTTTATTATTAGATTTTCAATGCATGGGTCAATTTTAGTCTCTTGTAATTATGGGGATTGAACTTTCAGGTTTAGCTCCATGAGGGAGGCTAAGGCCTTTGGCCCAAATGGATGGGCCATTTAAAATACATCTTTCTTTGCTTGGGTCTGCTATCATTTTTTTGATGACATGGTGAATGGATAACTAGAAACATTTGCCTTGGCTTAGTCATGTCACATTTAGGGATATTTAATGAATAAAGACTCTGGCATAAATACATCAAGAATATTAGAAAATGATCAAATAAACTGGATGGATATTTGTTCTATTGGGTGTGTCACATTGCTCTTATTTTGTGCCTCATGTGGACACTACAATTTCCACGTTGATGCTTCTTATAATTCTAGCTCTTTCTCTCTCTCTACCTTCCTCTTTTCAGATGAGATGAATTTGCATTTATGTTGACTGACTAAGTTACCTATTTATTTGTCTGTCTGCTTCCTATGAGATGAATCTATATATATGCTGATTTCTCATACTTGAACTCATTCATGATTTTGATTTATGGGTTGTGTCACATTGCTTTTGGTATGTAATCTCATGCAGAGACTGTCGTTCTTATACCATGTCAATTTTTCTCGTGTCATACTGTTAGTAATTAGTGAGTGTTGAATAACTACATTGAAAAGTGAGAAAGTAAAAAAGAAAAATAGAACTGGAGTTAGAACTGTAAGTCAGATGAGTTTTCCCTATAAAAAGGCACAGTGAGTTAGAGGTTGCCGATAGAAGAAAAAAATAGTGAGTTAGAAGTAGACTGAGGCTAATAATCCACAGGAATATAATTTGTATGATGTGGTGACCCTTCCAGTGGAATTTAAGCGAATGGGTTGGGCCATACCATCACTAAAAACTTACACGGATATAACCAATTTGATCATCCAGGTCAAAGAAGAATCATTCTTGCATATTGACAGACCGGCAAGAAAGCCACAGAAGATTCTACTTTGTGGATGGAGGAGGGACGTTGATGATATGATTGTGGTGAGTTCCTTAGTTCAAGCCCCTAATTCTTTTTTTCTTCGCCTGAATGCTGCAGGTATGGAGGGGAAATCTGCCCAAAGACTTTATTGTTCCAAAGTCTACTGAAAGAATACTTTTTTGTGGTTGGCGGCGTGATATGGAAGATATGATTATGGTAATGTTATGAGGAATCTACTTCTTGTGCTCACTACTTGTTGGGTGCAGTTCTCAGTACATTCACTGGCAGTAGATATTTAGAATTTTTCTGTAATTATTAGTCAATTACAAAATTCTTTCTTCCTCATTGCTACTATTGCAGAACAAAGAACTCAACTCGAAGCTTATATTTATATTTATCTTTGTAAATTTTAAATTTTAACTGAATTGTTCACCTACACATCTTTTGTTCAGTGTTGGATGCCTTTCTAGCACCTGGTTCAGAGCTATGGATGTTTAATGATGTTCCTGAAAATGAGAGAGAAAGAAGCTCATTGATGGTGGTCTGGACTTCACTCGGTTGGTGAATATATCATTGGTAAATCGTGAGGGAAATTCTGTTATACGCCGTCACTTGGAGAGCCTTCCTTTGGAATCTTTTAATTCAGTGAGTAATTCTATTGGCTTTGCACAACCATCAATGAACTGAACTGATAGGCAGCTCTTTCTCTTTTTTTTTTTGTTGATTTCTTCTAATTGTGGATACGCGTTCTGCCCTCCTCATATACTCTCTACCTAAATAAAGTTAAATCTTTTGTTACAAAAGGGAAATTCAAGTAATAGATGAATGCAACTTGATTCAGTGCTAGCATGTTGAAGACGCCCCCAAGAAGGAAGGTACATGAAAATACTTGGATGAATGTGTTATGACTGGTGGACATGTTCGATACTGCAACTTTTGCAAACTTTCGGTTTTGGTTTATAAGGGAGTCACTACTTGGATAGCTTTTAGTGAGAGCTATAATTTGGCACTTATGGGACTTGATAATGGTGTTTCTGTTTAACAGTTAGGACATTTTCCTGTTCTATGAGAGTCCCACCAATGATTTAAAAATATTTGTAATAATATCTTTGCTGAAACAAGTTTATGAAGAAAAACTGTTAGCAACAAATTTCACAAACAAAAATGTAAGAGTTTAACATGACACATGCTTCTGCAGATATTGATTTTGGCTGATGAATCGGTGGAAGATTCAGCTATTCAAGCTGATTCCAGATCTCTTGCTACATTACTGTTGATTCGAGATATCCAGGTATTTTTTTGAGCGTCATTCAAGTAAATTAATTAGATAGACTTTGTGCTCAAGAGTTGGAGAGTGTTTGAGATTACTTACAAGAAATGTACTTGAAACAACAAGGTGTTCTAAGTTTCTTAAAGCTAGTAAATTCTTGTTAAAAATTAGTAATTCAGCATTTGGATAAAGGACTGATTTTAAAAATAAACAATTGTGTTTGGTAAAATATTTTAATAAAAATAAATGTATTTGTTACAACAATTTTATGACTTACATTATTACATATTTATGTTAACTATGAGGATATCAGTAAGAACATAAAAAGTTAGGAATGATGATGATTATTTCCTTTCTTCTTAAATTCAATTTTAAGAACCTAACGAGGATATTTCCACGTCATGAAGCAAGAAGTTGGTGGTCTGCTTAAAGCTAAATATAAGTAGCAAATAAATAATTCCAAACACACTCTTGGTCTTCATAAAGCTTTTTGGAGGATCCAAGTACCCTCAGAAGGTTAGAAGTCTTCTTTTAGGTGGTGGCATAAGATACAATTGATACCAATGATTTGTCACAAACATTATGACCAAATAGAGCTATGTGGCCAGATATTTATGTAATGTCTCGACCTACTTTAGCAAACCGGAAAAAGGTTTAGAATAATATAAAAAGAAGACAAGTTCCAATAAACAGTCGCAAGAATTGGTAACAAATACAAGATTGTCAGAATCACCAATTAAAGGGTAACATCATCATGAGAGAACAATAGTAGTTTATTTTTAGTCATCAGTGGTATGTTAAATATGATAAAGCATTCTTGTATTTATAAGATTTGTATGTAATCTAATATGAGTATAATTTTAAAGCAGAAAAAAAGTAACAAGATAAGACTGTCGCTAGAAAGAAATAAAATCCTAAACCAATAATAAACCTATTCTTAAAATAGTTGTTAAATAAGCTAAATATATTTACTAACAGATGATGATTATAATTCAATACATATCTAATTTCTGGAAGTTGTGGGTTTGCCCTCTTCCCTCGAGGAATTCTTTTCAACTTATCGAAGGAGGAAGTGGCTTAAGGTTAGTGCGATCTTTCATTAGGTGTTGGGTTTTGTGGTTAGAAAGCAATGCTAGAATATTCAGTCAACTTGTCCAACATTCTCGTATTATTAAGTTGTAAACTAAAGTACATGGATTTTGTAAGATTCCATCTTTAACTGCTGGCAAAGGAATTTGAAGGTTCTTTTATGTTGATATCTTCTTGTTTTCTTTTTATGTTCTGTAACCATCTTAGCAGATTACCTTCCCTCGTCTTGTAATTTTTTCTTCTTGATATAATCTTCTTCTATTCTTATTAAAAAAATTCCTGACATGTGCTTTCTAATTTTTTACTATTTTAGGGATGTAGTAACATGAAAATTGCTGATGGTGGCATACTTGTTACATTTTACCTTCTTCCTTCACGAACTTTCTGTTAAGATCTTAAACTGATTCCATTTCATGAAAGCCAGTTGAAAAGAGTTATCACAGTACTTTTGCCATCATTACCAAATTGAAATTTGTCCTTAATTAGTCTGTGGCATATTTGTGAATGCTACTTATGAATGACAATATTCATGATCACTAGTATATAGGAGTTCCAAATAGTGATCCTCACAGTTATGTTTTTTTGTTCATTCTGCCATGATGTATATTTACAACTATCAGAACTCAA